CCTCCTAATGACTTTCTTCACATGAACCTGCCAATGAAAATGTTCATAGCACGTGTCCACAACTGTGCGTCTGATCTTGCTATCCCTTTCTTCCATCCTTGCTCTCTCTATGAATGGATTTTTTTTCTTTTTATTCAACTCCTGCGGAACAGCCAGCCGCACATCCACGTTGTTTAATTTCTTTTGTTCTTGGCTTGTTTCTTTTTCTCTCCAACCTGTATCATGGTATAAGCTCCTCTTGTGTTGTTATTTCATTGCAGCGCCCACTAACGACCGCATTGATCATTTAGGTCAACTCTCGCTGTTGACAGACCTGACTGAAAGAGGCGAGCTTCTGATTTTCATGCAGTTCGTGGGGAAACAAGTATACAAATACTAGGTAGTGACTGTATAACACCTGATGAGGTCTGCGTTTTGGCGCGTTTTCTTTTCTTTGACAATCTCTTCTTACAAGCTCCGTAAGCTACTGGCTGGAGGCTCGTTCCACCAACCCATCCGTTCGGTTAGGTAAGGTTAGCTTCGAAGAGGAATCACCTGATGACGTTCGGCAGATCAGCCCTGTTCGCACACTGCTTTATTTCGTCGTGGTCGGATACATTGGGTCTTAGCGTTTCTTCATCAGTTTTTGTTTGTGCCTGTGTGCCATCGAATCGAGATCGGATCAGTTCTTGGTTTCTGGTTAGCGCGAGAATTCGCGAGTAAACAAAAAAAAAGATACGCGCGTCAGAAAGGTAGCCGAAAAGAAATACGGATAGAGAAATGGCTCGGCGGAAGTGGATTCCGGTGTACGTTACATGCCCTGGAGAATACCGTCCCGACACGAAGTTACGCACAAAAGTGGAGCGGAACTGCGCGCAAGAGCGCTGTATCCAACGGAATATTGTTCGTTACAGTATCCGTGAGAGCAGAGTCGCCTCAGTGCGAGTGCCACCGTGGCTAATATTTCCTATCTATGACGGTAAGAGACGTATATTTCATAACTATGCTCGCACGAAGAATACACGATTGAAAACAACAACAAAAAAATGAAGTGGGGGAAATGAAGTGAGCACGTGAATAGCTGAAAAGGCTCTGTATTTAGTTGCCTCCATTTTCATAGCCAGGAAGCCGATGAGCCTTCAGTTCGGGAAAATTGGAATACGCCATATTACCAGTAATCAAAAGGTTTTCGCGTGCATTCCTTAGGGATGTGCGCGAAAGCTTTTTGGTGCTAGCTGCACAAGTTCCGAAGCTACTTTATTGCTCATAGGAGGAAACGTACATGTCTTAGCTTATAAAGTTTTGCAGGAGTACGTTGCACGTTGAGTTCTTGGCAGGGTTTTACAAGCGCCCACTATTATGTAGGATAGTAGTACTTGAGTGAAGTTAGGTAGTACCAAGTGGTTCTAGAAGGAAAGGGAAAAAAATCTAATTTCTGTCTGCCTTGTAGGCGACACAGCTAAGCTTCTCGTGGGTGTAAAAAAGAATAGTAGAAAGCGAAGGACATAGAAGACGGAGCACTCGCCACGCATGAGTGAAGAAAGAGGAGATAAGAGATGGGAAAGATGGATGACGCGGTCGAAGGAGTCCGCGGACAAGGGGAGAGGGGCGATTCTTAAATGAAAAGAAGAGAAAAGTGAGCCCCGTAACTGTCCTCAACAGTAGCTTAGCTTACGAGGGATGGGGGGAAGGAGGAATTAAAAGAAAAGGACAGGATTAAAAGGTATATCTATCTATCTATCTATCTATCTATCTATCTATCTATCTATCTATCTATCTATCTATCTATCTATCTATCTATCTATCTATCTATCTATCTATCTATCTATCTATCTATATATATATATATATATATATATATATATATATATATATATATATATATATATATATATATATATATATATATATATAGAGAGAGAGAGAGAGAGAGAGAGAGAGAGAGAGAAGGCGAGATCGTGGCGCAGGGACAGCGACATCCAGAAGTAAAGAAAACCTACGAAAGATAGACACGGTCGCAGAAGTCCGAAGACGGGGCACCACTCGGCGAGAGCTCTTGTCAGCGTCAGGAGATGGCGTAGGGCGATCCAGTCGGCCAGAGCTGCGCTGTCGTCGGAATCGCGGGGGCACAGCCGGTCGGCACGAAATCCAGCGATCGAATGCCGCGGACGGGGAACCACTCGGTGAGAGCAACACGGCGTCAGGTATTCGCGGACGGCGGGCCGATCGGCGAGAGCTACGCTAGCGTCGGAGATGGTGGATGACGCAACCGCTCAGCACCAAATCCAGCAAATGAGTGAAGTTGATGCTTCGTTCATAGTGACCTGTAGATGTGCATGCGTTGAGAGATTGAAAAGGATGCGACGCTTGTTTGTGAAGAAAGTGACACAGAGAGTGACACACTTTTTGTGGGAGCGCGCTCCTGTGTAACTGTAACTGTAAGAAGCTGTGTAGAGGTAATACAGTGAAATAGGAAACGAAGGAAAGAAGCGAATAAACACGTAATAGTCATAGAGTTAGAGAGAAAGAGAGGGAAAGAGGGAGTAGTGAATGATGGAAGGAATAAATTGAAAAAAAAAATTGCTGGTGGCGCGTTGCTATTGCAGATATCGATGTCACTCTCAACCATAACTACCGAATTCGGAGATAGGAACAATACGGAAAAAATGCTACAGTACTTAGACATAGTTACGCGTTCAAGAACCCTGAGTATAGTAAAATTTAACGCCAAAATCTATACTATGGCGTTTCACATGTTTGCAGTGTTTATTTACGTTAAACTACATAAATAAATCAAAGTTTTGAGAGAGAGAAGCAATACATTGAGAGGAAGGCAGGGAGGTCAACCGAAATTGCAGCATCCAGTTTGCTACCCTGAACTAAAGTGAGGGTAAATTGTAAAAAAAAAGGTGTGAAAGAGAGCGAAGAAAAAGTAGACGCACGAAAAAAAAAAAGAGTGAGGTGCTATAGCCTATTCAATAGACCACTACCACGCAAAAATTTAATACGACCTTGACTGACTTTCTGTGAGAAGACAGATCGTGTCGGCATTCGAGCACTGACTATTCTGATAAAGGTTTGACGTCGAGGTGGGTTAACGCAGCAGCTAGCGGCAGTCTGTTCGCGCTGTAGCGAGGGCAGTGACACAGAAGGTGCTCTATCGTTTCCTCGCTTCCACGATGATAGCAAACGGCACTGTCTTCCATGCGGTACAGCGGCACACTATCCGGTTAAGATATGTCATCCGGGCCAGGCGACGAGGACATATTACATAGGACGGAATGCTAGTGTCCCGTGAGTAAGGCATAATGCTCAATGCCATGTGCATGCTTGTACACGTTATCTGGTCCACAATCATAGCGCAGAAATTTGCTGCCACCCCGATTTCTCGTCGGCGATGAAAGAGTGCGAGGACCTGGAACGGAAAACGATGTTCCGGAACAGAACGTATAGGCCTCGCACGGTTCACCATATTTGAGACAATGGTTTATGAGAATGTAACAACGCAGAACATTTAATCCAGTCGTTGGGTCCTCTAATTTATCGATGCGCCGTTGTATCTTCTTTTGGGTGCGCCGAGCTGTTCGTAGACCTGTCTATAGAATCGGTGCGTCAGTATCTTCTTTCGGCACGACGGCATATCGCACGAACTCCAGGCTGAATTTCAACCCTGTGTTGAAACATTTCCACGGAGAAAAAAACTCGGCCAATATTTTGGCCATTGTGGTGATCGGTATCGATAGATGATTTTGAAAAAGTACCTGCGCAGATCCAGTCTCATGGTGCTGTATAGCGACTCATACCCCACACCTTGATTGATTTGTGGGGTTTAACGTCCCAAAACCACCATATGATTATGAGAGACGCCGTAGTGGAGGGCTCCGGAAATTTCGACCACCTGGGGTTCTTTAACGTGCACCCAAATCTGAGCACACGGGCCTACGACATTTCCGCCTCCATCGGAAATGCAGCCGCCGCAGCCGGGATTTGAACCCGCGACCTGCGGGTCAGCAGCCGAGTACCTTAGCCACTAGACCACCGCGGCGGGGCAGCCCCACACCTTCCACCAAACATGTTACGGGGAAGAAGCCATATATATACGAAGCGTACATTTGATATAGCAAAAGCGTACAACGCTCTTGCAATCTAAGCGTATCCCGCTCAGTACCTCGTCGTCGTCCTTCTATGCCATCTTCTCAGCCTGTTACATCGTTTTCCTATACCTGACGTCAAATTGCTTTCAGATAATACGTATATATAAGATATGGGAAATGCCTTCTTTGAAATGGCAACGCTCGCTGACATTTTGTTCACCTCTTCCCACTTACAAAATTTTCACTGTCCCGGTTCATTGCAGGACTACATTTTGTGACTGCGATCCGCTTATGTGAGTTTGAGACCTCTGTGGTAGATACGCGCAGCCTCAAGGAACCGTATATACACTGCGCCGTCTAAGGGCCGTTTCACGCGCTTCCCGCACAGCCGCAACACACGTGCCGGCACACCTGCCGCACCCAAGCCGTGGTCGAAAGAGCGTCGCCATTCGGCTTATTTTTCTCCCGCTTGCTTGCGGCAGGGGTCCCAGCACGAGTGTTGCGGTTGCGCGGGAAGCGCGTGGAACGGCCCTGCAGGAGTTCACGAACTCGCCAAGAGCCTTGGACTGGAACTGAGTTATGCCGACGGCGTGGCATACTCACAATTATCCACTTATGCAAGTTTGAGACCTCTGTGGTAGATACACGCAGCCTCAAGGAAGCGTATATACACTGCGCCGTCTAAGGGCCGTTTCACGCGCTTCCCGCACAGCCGCAACACACGTGCCGGCACACCTGCCGCACCCAACCCGAGGGAGAAAGATCGTCGCCAATTGGCTTATTTGTCTCCCGCTTGCGTGCAGCAGGGGTCCCGGCACGTGCGTTGCGGTTGTGCGGGAAGCGCGTGGAACGGCCCTGCAGGAGTTCACCAACTCGCCAAGAGCCTTGGACTGGAACAGAGTTATGCCGACGGCGTGGCGTACTCACAGGCATCTACGAACTGGTATGTGCCGTGGAAGACGTCGGCGGTGTCGTTCTCGTAGTCGGTGTAGAAGCCGATGACGAGCGTGCGGTGCATGGAAATACGCCGCCGGGGAAACACGCGCCCGCAGTAGCGACCCCCGAACGGCGTGCTGATCAGGTCGCTGCTCGGGTCGGCCAGCTCCGTGTACAGGTCCACGTATTCGCGGCTGCAACTGCGAGGAAAGAACGCACTCCATGTCACTTACGCAAGGCGGCGCTATACACAAGTCGTCTCAGCACAAATTCTGAGACAGAGAGAGATAGAGAACTTGGGAAGGAGAGAACTTTAGTTCACGATGCTATTAACAACGAAAGTTGTTTTTTTTTGCGAGTTTTGAATTGCCACGTTTATGAATTATTAAAGAGACGCTTGAAATATGTTTGCAGATCACTGTAATTCATTATGGGGAGTCATAGGACCCAAGGAAAGTTCGCGAGTTCCTTTGAAGAGAGAGTCATTATATACTGGCAAGTTGGGGCAAACAAAAAGAGTAACACATACTTTTTTCTCTGTTAGATATACCCTGTACTTTGGACGAAAGAAGAGCATCTGAGATGAAAAAAGTATATGAAAGCGCGCGCCATAAAGTCGTTGTGACAACAATGTCAGTGTCCGACAAACGCAAAAAACAACACACAAACAAACAAACAAACAAACAAACAAACAAACAAACAAAGCCGCCCGCATCTTCTCACGGGAGGAACTCGAGTAATCCGTCGCAGAGAGGTGGGGGTATGGCGTGAATGTTTCGTAATTGGGTATGGTTTGGGAATGCTTGTTATTTCGTCCTTATTATTCTTACCCATTGAATGAAGGAGAAGTGTTGCCTTCAACGAGTGGCGGGGCGCTGATGCTGGCTTATGCCCCACTACTGGTCGAAACTACTGTTGCTTCTTTCGCATCTACTCGAGTCAAACAAAGCGTCAAGTCAAGCGAAAGCTAGACGCCATTGATTCGCTGACCGAATTCCGAACGCGCGCTCCGCCGCTTACATACACACCGCCCGCGGTCGAGGGTGACGGGTTCGGGGAAGAAGTCCGCACAACCACGGCGCATGCTCGGCTTGCTGAACGCCCGGTGGTGTCTTATTCTTAAATGGCTACTGGAGCGACAGATTTGCGGGTGTCTTCCTGTGGCGACACGAGACGCGAGCATGAGCAGCGGGCGTGTGGACGGTGCGGCCGACGCCGAAGCGCGACATCGTGCAACTAAGAAAAGCTCCGCATTTAAAACACTATCCAATCTACAATCACGGCGTTTGGTTTAGTTGGTTTCACTTTCTTTGCCACATTCGGTTGCTCTGACGTATGAGAGACCCCATAGTGGCAGGCTTCGGATGTTGTGACCACTTATGATTTTTTAACGTGCACTGAAATCTCACAGTACAAGGGTCTTCACATTTCACATTCATCGAAATATGTTTGCCATGACCTGAATCAAACCCGCGTTCTGTGGGTCAGCAGCCGCCTACTGGACCAGCGAGGTGACCAGCGTAGCAATGTTTCGTTCGATTCATTGTCTCTAAGGAAACACAGCGATGCAGCAACAGCTGGTATGTCACCAAGGTAGTGAAACGTTAATGGCTCAGACCTGAAAGATGCAGTTCATCATCCTAAATGGGGGCACAGGTTATGATTAAATACGGACATATAGAAATGTGGAAGCGGAAGGAACAAACATAAAGACAACAACGCACGCATCTAGACCTACATAAACAAGTTTAAGAAAAGAAGTTAAAAAAGTTTACCTTTAACTGTCTAACCTTTTTAGCGTTGTCTTATACGCGACTTTACGAGCTTTTCTTTGAAGACAGGTCCGAACCGTTCGCGTCACGGAAAGCTCTGAGAGCGTTGTTGCGTTTCTTGCGAACAGACTTTAAAAGTGCGATTTAAATTCTACTTCATCGTCATCCTGTCATCTTATATTACCCTTTCACCAGCACATGGTAGCCAGCCTGTCTGAGCACTCGATAACCTCTCTCTTTCTCTTCCTCCTCCTTGCTTTGAAAAAAAAGTTAGTATACGGTAACCAACGTTAGTAGACGGTAAGACTAGAAAAAAAAACACTGAGCAGTAATTCCTTCCGAACTCCACTGACTGACCGTCGCGGAAAGTGTCTTCAAGCACATCGGATTAAGGAAGAAATAATAATCTAACAACAGTAAGTTTGAGAATGAAGCTTCAGGCACGTAATTCTGTAACGCGTTTTGCTTTACTAAGCGAAGCGCTAAGCTTGAATAAATAGAGTGTCCCAACTTATAGCTGCATTAAGCCTTCGACACGCGTTTACCCGTACTACACAATCACATCTTTTCGGATTAACGTTATTGGGAACAGCTTTTCGCAGAGCGCACTTTGAAAGCTCGCTGATGCACAGCTACCACTCATTTTCGAGACGTCAATGTTAACGCGCTTTATAACAAGGTCCGCAAACTCGTCTGAAACTTTTTCACAGCTGACGTTGTTACACGTAAAAGGCGATTCCAGGCGTTCCCTAGAAAAGGAGAACGAATGAATTAATGATGGGCGCAAAACGAAAGCACGCTAGGTGATGGTCACTGGATTAGCAACGAGGGCACTCGCACACATGCTAAGCAGAAAGGCCCGACGGGAAGTTCGCGAGTATCGAAGTGCTCGAAAGGGAAGGCCGCGAATGACTCATCAAATAATTTAGTACGACGTGAAGGAAGCCCAGCCGTCTGACCAGCACTCACTCGCGAGCTCTCGTTTGCGGATGCTTAGAAAATACCCTGAGAAACTGGTTGGCACTTCCTGTATAATTTCCGGTGTCTGGCCCACCAGAATTTCTGTTCTTCCGGCGTTAAACGCTGTTATCGTCTACAACTTCCTTTGATTGAGTTTACCGGTTCTGTAGTCTTACCCCTGAATTGCACCCGAGTCACCGAAGCTTCATTGGAGGAACGTGAGACGCGTGATTCGGAGGTTGTGGGTTCGAATCCTAACAACGAAAACGGTGCTTTTTCACCCAATCTAATTGCTTTCAATTTACGTCATAATAACTACACTATACCGTTAAAGGCAGCCAATTATAATTGTGAATTTAGAATAGGGGCCCAGAAAAGTTGGGGCATAGCCCTTTGCGTGTGCATGTTAGGGGTCAAGCAGGAGCGAAGAGTTTTTGAAGACAGTCTGCGGCACTTTGGACACTCGCCCTATTCTAGGTATCTCTATAGCATTGGCCGAGAGCTGTCACGTTTGTAAAACGCAATGCTTTTGAGGCAGACTTTGGGGCACCCGCTGAATTTGAGAAATAGCGTCCCCAACGCAAAACCTAAACGCTTTTTGGGTCTCGAGCATGCGCAGTGACCTCGACACAATTTTTCCGGGGCCCCCATTTGAAAACCCCCTAACATCTCCATATGCCTTCCTTGGCTTAATTCTTTGGTTTTACCTAACGAAGAAAAAGTTGTACTTGTTTCGAAAAGGAAGAGACATTCAAACAAGGGATGAGTTATCGGGGAGTAATTCATTTAACAAGGATTCTTGCTGGATTTTGTGTCATGACAAGTTGGCTCACCTTTTCTTGGTAAGTACAGTGATAATTGTTGTCGTAACTCACTCAATGATTGAATACTGCTGCTACGGTTCAGTGTGATTTTAGTCATTGCTTTGAGGTGGCGTGTGGGTTATCTAACTTCCACTGTTTTGTTCATTGACATTACGACTTTGTAACGGGGTTTCGTATCTGGTATCACTGAGAAAGAAGGGAATTAAAACGAGCAAAGTGAAACGCAGGGACGTAGACCAATCTAGAAGAACTTGTAGGCTATGTTACGCTTAGATGGGGGTATCATTAAAAGGTATCATTGTGAAACTCCGGTATTCCATCATGCCTGTGTCAGGAACTGCCCCTCTACATGCATGTTTGCGCTTTCATGTGACCAGATCAAGTAAATTACTTTCGATGCAGTTTGTCGATCAGGGAAATTACAACGCACACCTATATGCCACTCTAAATCCACTATTGTATACGGGTGTTTCTGTTGGCGCCTATGATTAAAAAAGCGTCGGTGCATGTTTTATGAACGCTGCAATAACAGAAACTTGCCTAAACTGTCTCCGTTAAGTTCGGAACACATGACACGATAGTACTGACGTTCCGTAGCACTTGTCGACGCACTGTACAACTTGAGGAAAGACTTAAGTTTCTGTCAGACGGTGTACACGAATATCGCGGTCGCAGTGCTGCTTCAGTTCTTGTGCATAAAACACTTTCTCTTAGTCTCAGTTTAAGGTTATTTTATGAAAAAGAAAGGCAGGACGAAATTTCCTGGGTGAAAGCTCTAATAGAACGCTGAATTACCGCGCAAATTTTGTTATAAAGATATGACGTCACTTGGTAGTCGGGTTCATTGCCACGAAAATGGAAGCGGTAAAGCTCAGCAAAGCGTCAACGCGTTTCTGCGAGGCCACAGCGACGGCCACAGCGACGGCCACAAAAAGCGACGGCCACAAAAATTCAGGCATCGTGATGACCGACGTAGTGCATATCTCGGCACGCTCGTACGTATAATACCGAAAGCCGTAAAACCCGCGCAACCCGCGAAATTAGTTTCTGTTTCCAACCGCTGAGCCCTCATAGCATTGCTTGCGTTCTGTATTCTGTTGTGTGTGCCCTTGTTTTCCGGGTGTGTGAGAGAAAGTCGCTGAGCTCCGAAGGATGCGGGGAAATCGCCGGGTGTTTTCTTCTTTCGCGAAGCTGGGTATATAGCGGCGAGACGAACGAGCTGCGCTGGAATAAATGCGAGCATTGTTGAAGGCGCTGTTGAGTTTTCGTTCACTGAACGGTATGCAGGAATTCATGAACAACTCTGGGGTATACCGACTTCATAGATTTGTTGGGAATTCAATATTTTGCGATTGTAACACGTCGAACAGGTCCTGCAGAGTTGAGTATTTAAGATGACCAACGAAGGGTGAATTCGTAAACTAACGTCGCAGCAGTTGAACAGAGATGAAAGACTCCGCCAGGACGAGTCTGCGACTCCAGGCAATCATGAGGATACCATCGTAAAATGGCAAAAATTGCTGGATTTTAACGTCCCATAACCACAATACGGTTATGTGGGACGCCTGGGTTGAGGGCTTCGGAAATTTGGACGACTTCCTGTATTTTAGAGAGCACCCAAGGAGAATCACACGGGGCTTTGTCTAAATGTGGCCTTCACGGCTGGGATTCGATGCCATGGTCTTTGGGTGAGCTGTCGAGTACCACAAATACTAAAACCTCCAGAGCTGGTAGGACAAGTGCCCGAGAGATCGTGGTGGCTTCTGGCTGCACACCTTCCTTTGTTTTAACACATTTAGTAAATGTTGTCTTTAACTAGTGAGAACTTGGAAGTAGCTAAATGCCGTGATTTAAAATTACGAACTATGCTTAATTTGCGAAATACACGAGAGTCCCGAATCAATAGTACATCAACGTGACAATTCGAAATTCAGGCAGTTAGTATCAGCCCATATAGGAAAATGAATTTTACCGACAACAGACACCTGTACTTCACCGAGTCACACAAGAAAGTGGAAGCTTACTTTTAAGCTGCTGCTTCTTCCAAGTGTATATTAAATATTTTGTACGGTACCTTTTTTATTCTTTATTCTTTCGTAAATATTGTACCGCTAAAGTTATATAATACCACTGTCCTCGACTCCGTAACAATGTATAACGAAACCACTCCTTATTGTAGATTCTGCTTACAAAATCAGTCCATCTATCATTTTGTAAACACGTACTATGATGTTTGTTTGTTTATTTGTTTCTTATTAGTTTTCTTTCTTTTCCTTTGTTTTGTGCATGTCAAACCGCAATGCAAATACTTTGCAAACGCATGCGGAAACGCGTAGCATGTGTCATTTTTGTTTTTATTTTCAGTTTCGTAGCAGTGCACAGAGCTAACATGCCTTTTTCCTTTGTAAATGTGACCTTGTATGCATATTTTGATGCTCCCTTCCCCCCTTATGTAATGTCCAACCCAGGGCCCTTAAGGGATAATAAATGATGATGAGTACAACTTGTCGCGTGCAGTATAGGAACGTTCAGTACAGACCGGTACCGTCAAGCAAATCACTGGTCGGACGAGAGGCGTTCGCGAACACAAGTTTATCGAGTACGCCTTCGGATTTGCTAACGATGTGGCCCTTCAAATGTTGCACGGAACTGCTGAAGCACTGCGTTAGGCACATTAATGTTTCAGCTCTGGCCGGACCTCCAAATCGATTTCAGACGGGCTTGCCACTTTAGCGGGCGGACACACACGCGTACTAGTAGTTCGATCCGCTCGTTGCGCACTTTCGGTGAGTATGTGTGTGCAATATATGGCATGCGCTGGTGCTCTACGGTCAGAATCTGCAAAAAATCCTCTTACTGAAATCCGAGTAGTGGAGGAGAGACCCGAAGGAGCGTAAAGTAGGATACTCTGAGAAAGCCAAGTGCTCGCTCACAATATAAGAGGTTTGAGATCTCCTTTTCGCCATTGCTATTGATTCTGCGACTGTGCGGAGGCTATACTTTTAGTCATGCCGTATGACGCCCGAAAGAAACTCACGGGCAGTTAGAGCTGTTTCAAAGGGAATTTCGGAATGAAATAAGATTGCCCCGCATGATTTTGCTTGCGCTTATAGGGTATACGGCGCACGGAGAATGGCAGAATCTTAACGTGATTTCACTGTGCACGGAAGTTTGAAGCTACAGCAAATCGAAAATTCGTAAGGCGTTACTATATATGATAAAAGAATACGATGATTAAATTGCCATAAAAATACATGTTCAGTTACGACATGAAAAGGTGTCGGTGGGACAACTTTATTGAGAGGTCAGGACCACATGAACTGCTGTTCTTCATTTTGTTTTGTTTCTATAGCTTTCCCAGTTTGTGGCCTTCAAAATTATGGATACTTTCTCTCTGGAAAAGCACAGATTAACGTGCAATAAACTCTATAGAGTATAACGAAATGAGACATGAACAAAAAAGAATAGCATAATCATGAAAACAGATTCATTGCCTTCCTTCAACCTCTCTTACGCAGAAGAATGGCGGTCATCGCATTATATGTACTAAATTTGTTAGCTTGAGGAAAAGTGGAAGTTGGTGGTTGGTGGGAATGACTATAGATGTTTATTATAAAATATAGACTTCTTTTATTTTAATTTTAATGAATGGTCAACTTTGTTTTCGGAATATCATCCGAGGACTTCTTGAAGCACTTCTGTTGTACTTTAGTTTTTACTGGGTGCCCGCTTTGTGTTCTCTATTGTACGTGCAACGTTTTTTTTCTTTTTGTACGACGAAGTTGTCTAGGCAAAACCAAAGTTCATCTATATTATATGCGCTATAACGTAGTATGGACGCATGCATGTGCCAATAGCACGTATGTGCCACAGAAATCGGGCAAATTTCACTACCAACTACCAGTCCGTTAAAAATGAGGATTATGATTTCTGGACAGACGTAATTAATTTTTGAATAATACCTCAATGGACAGTTTGTTGAGCAGCGAAAGACGCCGGGGTGGGACATTTTAGTAGCGCTAGTTAACCACCTGTATTGTGTTTTTGGGCGATGACCTTTCTTCATTTTGTGGCTTGTAGAAAGAGAGAGAGAGAGAGAAATAAATAAAAAAAGAGACATGGAAGTTAACCTAGAATAACTGGTTTGCTACCCTGTACAGGGCTGGGGAAATAAGGGTCGGAAAGAAGATGGAGATAAAGAGTAAATTAGAAAAAACATTCACATGCACACACATTCAGGGAGTTCCGATCACAGTCGTTTGGACAGGCCGGTTGAACGCAAGAAGCGCAGGAGCGCCTTGACAGCGTTCTCCTGCGACAAAGTCCTGTCGGTAGCGCAGGATTCTTTCTTCCGAAAGGGTCTGGTTGTCCAGTTCATCTAGTGCATTACAGAGTGACTGTCTCTGCGAGCAGTATTGTGGGAATTCACACAGAATGTGCCAAGTTGTTTCGTCACTGCCGCAATGGTGCATGCAGCAGTGTCAGCCATTCTTATGCGGAACGCGTACGCATCGGTAAATGCGACGCCCAACCATAATCTGCACAGCATAGTAGCGTCTCGTCGGCGTGATTCCGGAGAAATTCGAAGACTGAGAGTTGGGTCTAAGGTACGTAATCGTGCATGGGTCAAATGTGGCCCGTTCTATTGTGACGTGGTGCGCTTGCGAGCAAGCATGCGGAATTTCCGTGCAGCGTAAGTTCTGGAGAGCAGAATTGACATTTGATCACCTTCAGTATGAGCAGAACGGGCAGCTCGAACGGCCCGTTCATCGCCAATCATTCCACAATGACTTGGAAGCCATTAAAAGGTTATTTCATGTCCTTTCTCAATGAATGATACCATATAACCAACCACCTAGATCGTCAAAGGATACGTCTTTTTGTGTTATCGTGGCTTGATAAGGCAGATTAGCTTAGCAAATCTTTGTAATGCCATTTGCGTTAAACTACACGCCAGACGTATGCACACGGGTCATGGCACTCACTCTGGAGAGGATCCTCGCACCCTGAAGCGGGTGAAGTTGATGTCGACCCTCTCGTTCCCCTGCGCGATGAAAGTGTAGATGCACTGTCGAGAATGGCCCAGCGGGTTCTCCATGTGTGGCGCGCTGAAGCTGCCGTTCTTGGGGCCGTCCGGGTTGCTGATGAACATACGGTCACATTCTGCAACGAGAAATCAGGGGGCGTTCATGTCACGTGATGTTACCTGGGCCACACAAGCACTGACATTTCAAAACTGGAGGCTTCCCAGCCTCTCTGTTTACGCTTTTTCTTGTCTAGTGAATTGTAATCACCGTTCCATACGTAGGTTGTACACCGTTGAATCTTCCATATGTATAAAACTAGTAATTTTCATGACCTATCATGCGCGTTGCAAACTATTATGTATTTTCTCTATAAACCAGCTTAGCCTCGTAGGCTACTGGTCCAGTTAACATGTACGCATATTGTATACACGCCTTAATAAACTCATTTTGATTTATTATTATTATTATTATTATTATTATTATTATTATTATTATTATTATTATTAATAAAATGCCGAATATCCAGAGACCGGCGCTGCCGTTTGAAGACGATTTTAACCGCGGCTCAAACATTTCCAAGCAGCGACTGTGCTTGACTTGGCTGCGGATATAATGGCGTGGGTAGTACCACGCTTATTGATTGACAACTTTTCGCATTTGGATGGGAATGATAAAGCAGCAGCCCAGGGCTACGAATACATTGTTGTTGTGTGCATCTGACAAACAGCGCTGCCAGCGCTGCTGCTGTTTCGTTTCTGCTCAAGCAAATTAGGCAAAATCTGCACCAAGGCGGCTTCCCCAATGACGTCAATCATCGTCCCCACTGAAATGTTCCATGTGCTGTTACGACAGTCCCATAATTTTCCTTAAGAAATCCACTTAAGAGTCTATGTTTTTCATATATAGTTGTGGTATGTTATTGTAAGAATTTCAAGGAAGCATTATGAAAAATTGTAATGGTGTACGGAACTTTCAAGAAGGGGTCAATTCCTGATTGATCGTCCACGTCTGATGCCTTGTCCGCACAAATATCACAGCGATCACCATCTCCCCAATGACATTGCAGACATTAAGCTTCATGTAAGCAGCGCAACTGCCTGCGTAGGTTAGGGTCAGATCGCAGCATCTGCTTTCTGTACGGATGAAGATCTCGCGAAAAATTTGCGAAATTGGTTATTTTTGTTTTCATCAATAAATAAATAAATAAATAAATAAATAAATAAATACATCAATCAACCAATTCAATCAACTAGTTATTCGACCCAATCAATCAAGATTCTTACCAAATGAAAACAGTGGCTGCGTAATATAAGCGCAGCTTTTTACCACTGTTTTATCTTGAAATAAGCATTGTCATGAAATAAAAGATGCAGGTTCGTTACCATTGTCTTAAAAGAAAAAAAAAAAGCAAACAAGAACAATTCTTGGTTTTCTGTCGATATGTGACGACGTTTATAGCTCTACTCGACAGCTTTGGCAGGGGTTCTTTCGATGTGACCGTCTCGTTCATCCTTAGCGCTGTTTAGTTTTTAAGTGATTTCGACCACAAGTTTACCCAGTTCACTAGTTGGAAGTTGGGCCATTATTGTTGTTCGTTTCGGGTCGTATGAAGCCCCGCCGCGGTGGTCTAGTGGCTAAGGTACTCGGCTGCTGACCCGCAGGTCACGGGATCGAATCCTGGCTGCGGCGGCAGCATTTCCGATGGAGGCGGAAATGTTGTAGGCCCGTGTGCTCAGATTTGGGCGCACCTTAAAGAACCCCAGGTGGTCGAAATTTCCGGAGCCCTTCCACTACGGCATCTCTCGTACTCATATGGTGATTTTGGGACGTTAAACCTCACATATCAAATCAAAAATCATCTGGTTACATTAAATGTATTTTGTGGCAAAAAGACAATTCTGAGTACTCCTTATTTTTAACAAGGTGTGGGTGCGAGCTATAGTTGATGCTTCATGATAACCTTCTTCTTGTGAAATTTTCTAAAGCAACGGACGAGACACATGGGTGGGTGCGCCCCCTATTCGCAGGGACAGCAGAATTAACCCTTTTTAGTAATTAACGCCTACTCAGGACCCATAATGAAACTAGAATCAGCAAAGCACGGTACCGGAACGATGGCATGGTTTCAAAACACATTTTATCATGACAAAACATCAAAACGCCATTGCAGTTTCGCTTGATAGTGCGTGGGTATAACGAGGAAACAGAGTTACAGAAACGGAGTGCCTAGAAGTTCGTTTATCAATCGGAAAACTGTATAGGTTCACACCTGTTACAAGAACGCATGTGGTGATGATTTTCTGAAATACGGTGTTTAGCTGGAAAAAAAAAAGTTTTCAGCTGCAACATGTACTAAGCGGCGAGTATTCATAGATGCTTATTGATATCGTATTCATGAAATACTTCTTAAAGAGAATATATATCCCGCTGTTTTCGTGTTTGCTTTTTTCTACGCTAGTGTATTAGAAAATGTGAATGTGACAAGATTTTACTTTTATAATGAACACTTTACTGACTAATTAATATTTTTTCCACAACATATGATCTCTGTACAACTTTGTAGCAAAAAAAAAAAAGAGAAAAGCCAGGTTTGAATGTTTTAGGGCTTTGGAGCTCTCATATCTGAAGGCGATACCGGTCATCACTCGCAACACTGTTTCAAAAATAAATGTTATTTTCTCTTTCTCTCTCATCTTCGACAAAGCTCAAGACGAAGACCGTGTCGTGACCATATCGTCACGCACAAGCGTTTTCTCTTTGATGGGAGCGAGACTTGCGCAACGCAGCCTCGACCGCGAACCTGACGAGCGAGTGCAAGAATGAAAGAGGCGGCCTGGTTTTCATCGCGTCAAGTGGAAACGTCCCGAGCGTGTGGAGGCGTGTAGAAGGCCGCTTTTTCACGATCCCGAAATAGAAGCGAGTGTTCTCTTGCGCAAACTGCCGTCGGACGCGTTCTGGCCTTTCGAAGATTCATGCATTCATGCATCGCCGTTCGCAACGTTCCCACAGCGACACCGACGCGCATTCTAAGAGCACTCGTAGTTCATAGGTTGGCAAAAAAGAAAAAAAAAATGTGGAGTTCCCACAGGCTCACTGATAAAATGAATTTCGAGTCTAGGACTCACTCACAGACTCGTACTCACCACCTGGTTTTTCTCAGCAGAGATCACTCGAACTGAGACTCTTTTCCTTAGCCTGCCCCGCCGCGGCGGTCAAGTGGCTAAGGTACTCGGCTGCTGACCCGCAGGTCGCGGGTTCGAATCCCGGCTGCGGCGGCTGCATTTCCGATGGAGGCGGAAATGTTGTAGGCCCGTGTGCTCAGATTTGGGTGCACGTTAAAGAACCCCAGGTGGTCGAAATTTCCGGAGCCCTCCACTACGGCGTCTCTCATAATCATATGGTGGTTTTGGGACGTTAAACCCCACATATCAATCAATCAATCTTTTCCTTAGCCGGACGGAAACTAACCGCGACCTAAACTTAAACGAAAGCGAATGGTTCTGCTTGGCGTTACATGGACGTAGCTTTTTTTTTTCTTTCAGTCTCAGTGGTTGTACACACCGGTGGGGTCGCACTAACCTACGCTTGGTGGTTCTCACTGTTTTGTCAGCATCACTACTGCCTAAACGAGAGTATAGAAAGTAACGTGACGCTTTACCATTGACGCCATGTGTGGCTTTGTTTTTTTGCTTAGGTGGCGTGACTCGTTCTCCGCACGTGACAGAGTTTATTTTCAAGTTTAGTTTTCAGTTATTAGCACAGAAAAGGGGAACGGCATTTCGGAGGAGGTCCGAAAGCGCAAGGCTGCAGGGGGACCCCCCTGTTCAAAATGACATTAGAAAATTTACTCAATTAGCAGTAACAGTGAAAACAGAGAGATGAACGAATTGATAAAACCAACACTAACTAAGAAACAAGTAAAAAGAAGAGTGGAATAAGCAATATAGCAGGATAAAAACGTCCAGTAGTTCATCAAATACGAATACAATAGTTTTTTTTAAAAAATAAACCAGTCGTCGAGCATTGTTTGATGTGAGATGGCATTGAATTCTATAATGATAATCCTGAGAAATACGCAGTATGGCGACCAAGATTAGTGCGGATAGTAGGTAGTAAAAAAATTTCCATTTCAAACAAATCTAATATAAAGGTTAGACAAAGAATTAGGATAAAAGACGCTTGGTGGAACAAGACGGTGCAATGACTTGAACAGCATGATAATGAGGTTATATTTAAATAAACTGACAGTAGAAAGTATCTCGAAGTTACGAAGTAATGATGATGCACTAGAACGAAATGAACTGAAAATCATTAGTCCGATGGCTTGGTTTTTGAATGTGTTGAATGGGATATAAGTGGGTGAGGTATGTGTTTCGCCATGTGGTGATGCAATAATTAATATGGCTGTGAATAAAAGCCTGTTATAACTTGATTAGAGCAAGTGGTAATGTAGTTACGTGCTCTGATTAGAATCCTGACACAAAACGCTAGTTTTTTGTGTAAATGAATAACATGATTAGAGTATTTCAGGTTGCTGTCGAGAATGATTCCTAAGAAAGAGCATTCAGTGCCAGGGTTAATGAGTGAGTCATTTAGTTTAATAGAAATTTGGGAGGGAAGAACTTTGTTAGCTGAGTAGAATATCATGAATTCAGTTTCCTCAGGGTTAATACTGAGGAAGTTCGTGAGACACCAGCTTAAGATGTTATTTAGATCTTTTTGTAATTTTAGCGTTAAAGAGTCAATTGATTTATCAGTGGCTAGTATTGTAGTGTCATCGGCATAAAAAAAGGCTGAGAGTTAGTAACTGAAAGGGGAAGGTCATTTATGTAAATTAAAATAGAAGCGGGCCTAGATTCGACCCTTGAGGAACACCCTGATTAGTAGAAAAAAAAATCTGACAAAGTAGAGCGAACACAAACAGCCTGCTGTCTATTACAGAGGTAACTTTCAATAAGTGTTAGGGCAGGTCCAACAATACCGATTGCCGTGAGTTTGGTTTCCAGGGTGCTGTGATTAAGTGAGTCGAAAGTTTTGGTTATGTCAATGAACAATGCTCCAGCTAATTCACCAGAATCAATAGCTTTTTTAATCTTATCAGTGAAAGTTAACAATGCGAGATTAGTCGAGAAAGCAGGTCGAAAATCAAATTGACTAGGAGTTAAAATGGAAAACTTAGGCAGGTAATTAGTGACACGTTTCTCAATACACTTCTCTATTATTTTACTAAAACATGAAAGGATAGCTATGGGGCGATAACTAGATGTGGAAGTTCTTTCGCCTTTCTTGAACACTGGTATTCTTTTGGCCTGTTTTAGACCGCAAGTTTTGGATATTGTGCTGCGTAGGTTGTCGAAACACTCTATACTGTCCCACACAAACACACACAAAAATTCCGCCACATCCACGAAGTGAATGATGATGAGTGGGCGAAGCTCCGGAGGTAAACCTGGTAAACCATGAATCCTCTGTACATTTTGCCCACTCGATTTTATTACATCGCTCCCCCTAGCGTACGTCGCCGCACTAAATCGAACAATTGCCTTCAACCAATGACACGCGCCATATGTGACATCATTCCTATTTTATAAGATCTCGCGTCTTTCATCAACTACAAGTACAGCTTTCTAGTTTATAACATCTTGCATCTTTTCATCATCAGCTACAAGTACCACCATCTAGTAAACACTACAAGAACTAAACGAGAGGTGGCTACATACAGGAGACGGTACCGCCATCTAGTGAACACTGCAAGAACTAAACTAGAGGTGGCTACATACAGGGGACGGTACCGCCATCTAGTGAACACTGCAAGAACTAAACTAGAGGTGGCTACATACAGGCTACAGGGGACGCACAGCCCACGCCCTAAGGAGCTTCGCCCCTAAAAAACTGGCTCTCTCTGGGGTTAATGTTGGCTTGAAAAAGACGTTATGTTATTTATCGAAACTGCGCACGGATCGAGGGGGTGGGTGATGTGTTCTAGAGGCACCGTTCGCTTACCTGCGAGTGGCGTAAGTTGCGTCGTGCAGGTGGGAGGGCAGCAGTTGCTGTCTACGTCACGAGAGGAGCAAAGGAAAAGAGAAAGAAAAATGGCCCGGAGTTTGAGTTCAGCCGGAGTTCGTCGCTATTATTATTGTTTTTTTGCAACGCCAATTCATACACGCCAGAAGCAAATCGACAGAAATAGGTGTGACCGTATATGTGCGGGTTTTAGGGCATTATTCAGATGGGACAGAAGGACAAGGAAATATTTACCTGCGACTTTAAACGGCATCATATTTTAACGTCTCTAGCTGCTTGTGCGCTATACTAAAATATCCATCTTCTTTGACTAAGCTAATTAATGAAACAAATACACATAACTCAAGGAATCAAGCAGTCCATAAAGCAGTCATAAAGCTGCACCTGATACAGTAGAAAGAATCTTGCTTTGCTATAAAAAGAAGGAAGGATATAGCTGAATGTCTATGTAATTATTTACCTACTAGCTAATGAATTAACTGAACTTATCTACTGAGTTATCTATTGAATATCAATCAATCAATCAATTGATCAATCAATCAATCACACCATGGACAAGAAAAACGAATCTCGCTGTGAATAAAAAGAAAGGGCAGGCCAAGTAGCGAACATTATAACAGTTTTGTCTGATAAAAACCAGAGAGTACGATGCAACACTCAGATTGTCGGTAGAATAGAGAAACCACAGAGAGAACACTGCAGCCAATGAAATCTCGGCCGTGCTATTATATCTCCCACTTTAGAGAGGAACTAACGTGCTTGATTCCCCTTCCTCTTCAATTAAAGTAAGTATCGGTGGCTTTCGCTAAGTCGAGTGCGGGCAAAAAAAATAAAATAAATGCAACATAAGAACAGGAAGGCCGAGAGAACGAGGCTATTTCCGGCCTCCCGCCGTGCCAACTCGAAGCGGATTCGAGAAGCCGTACAGCAAATGAGCGGGCTGAGAGGAAAGAAGAAACAGCGCCTTATTCTTGCTTCCTCCCGACTTCCAATGAGGCTGGGCAAGCAAGCTCTGGCTTCGGCCTCGTCGGTGCTCCACACGGCTTCTCTATCGACCGGTCTGCCTTCGTCGCTAGCTACCGTAATGCCAGCGTGTAAGACTCGCACTCGATCTAGAGTCATAATTCGCGTACACTCTCGAGCTGTGGCCTTTGCATGATCACGGTCGCCGCTGTTTATTCCGTGGGCCTGTAGTTATCGAGTGACCAGCTATCCCACACCAGCGCAAGGTAAACTGCATGTATAATGCAAACACTGGGCAGTGGCTCTGAACAGTAGTAGCAACGAAGTAGACAAGCACAGTTAGCGTAGCGAAAAAGAAAAGACTGCACTTTTTTTAAAAATAAA